TGGCAACAGTTCTTAATAACAGAAACTTAGCTCAACTAAATATTCTATACTTAGCTTCTAATTACACTAGAAGTTATGCTAATGGTAGATACTTAGTAAACAGACAAAGCTAGATTATGCTAAATGGACCTACTGAAAAGATTGAACTAGGCAAACCAATTTAGATTGATCTTACTCACAGGATACCTCAGTGGTCAACATACCTTCAACCTCAGGAAACTAACTGCAAGAGGGTGACTGTGCCCTGAGGGGTTCCACAAGCTGGCAGATCTACAATCACCCACAGAAAACCCAAGATGGTCTCCGGGGCCAACCTACTTATACATGTCAGGGAATGGAGGAGGTGGAGTCCTCCATCATTGTTTCGGTGATCATGCCCTGCATGTGCAGGGGGTTGGACTAGATGATCCCTAGGGGCCCCTTCCAACCTTAAGGATTCTATGACTCTATGCTGACAGTCATGGGGTGGAGGGTGGCTAACTCCCCAGCGCATTACTGAATGGCTGCTTTCCTCTTGTAGCAGTGGTCACAAGGAGGTGTAAGAAGGAATTAATTCCATTCCACAATGATCAACACCACCTCAGCAGTGCAAGCAGGTGTCTCTCAATGTCCTGGCAAAAAGAAGGTTATTCCAAACCTTGATAATTAACACTGACACAGCAGTGAGAGGTTTTGTCTCTCAAGGTCCTGGTGGCCAGGCAGGCCTTATCTCAAAGTCTTGACATCCTTCCTTTTGGAGTGTGAGGCAAAGGGATGTAAACTGCTGGTAACTGGAACTAGATAGGGGGGAAGCTCAGAACATACTCATACAGCAGCTCTCACAGCTTTCACCAGGGGGAAAGTGGAGACCCTTGAACTAACAGAAGCTTAGGAGAAGGGGACAGAGCACCAGACATCTGTGTCCCTGTGTCTGCATGCCATCCCAATTATGAAAATCACTTTCCTTAAAAAACAATCCTTCCAAAAAGCAGAACATAATAAAAAGAAAAATAAAAAACAAGGAGGACTATAAGACCACAGAATGTTAAGAGCTGAAAAGTGTAAATTATTTTTTGCTTTTTTTAATATCTTTTTTGTTTCATTTCTATTGTAATTTTCTAAATATTTCTGACTATAAGTCAGGTCTACACCATTAAAAAGCAATATTTTTTTCTGTCTCACACAGAGCCCAGGATCCTAAAACTGCTCCTTACTCTTTGCGCACAGCAGTTCACACTTTGAGGTGTTGAGCTCTTTCAACT